CTACTTCACTTCATACACAACACCGGTCTAACAGCACACATTTAACAAAAGATATTACGCCATAAAGGCAAGTCTTTGTTGCAATAAATAAAAAGGGCACTGCACGCCCGCACAGCCTCTATTAGCCGCCACTCTCGCCTGCAGGAGCAGCTGAGAAGTGCGCGCTTTGGCCGCCAGGGCACCGCGGAAACTCCAGCGCTGGTTTCCTATATTTCGGCATCATTTTTCTCAAAATTATGCCGAAAACAAATTATTTAAAACCAACAGAATGTCGGAAAATAAAAGCTTTTCGAATGCTATAAAGTCATCATTTCGTCTCAAAAGGGCCCTAAATATGATTTATCAGCATTTGATGCAACCTCGAAAAATCGAAAATTTCCAAAGGCTATAGTCTTGAGATTTTTCACAAAAATGATGCTGGAAATTAATTCCTCTAAACGCGACATAACGTCGAAAAACCGAAAGATAGAAGCTCTCCGAAGGCTATAATGCCGTCATTTTGTCTCGAAAGGGCCCTAAAAATGATTTATCAGCATTCGACGCAACCTCGAAAAATCGAAAATTTCCAAAGGATATATATGGTCTTGGGATTTTTCTCAAAATGATGCCGAAAATGAATTTCTCAAAATGCGGCAGAACGTCGAGAAAACGAAAAATAAAGCTTTTCGAAAGCTATAAAGTAGCCATTTTGTCCTCAATTGGCCCTAAAACTGAATTATTGGCATTCAACGCAACCTCAAAAAATCGAAATTTCTCAAAGACTATGGGCTTGCGATTATTTTACAAACTGTGTGTGCCAAGGTTCGGATGCAAAAAGTCGCCTTTTATTATTAAAGAATTGGCTGCATAATGTACACACCAACATTTATACCATCTTACCAAGCCGTGGCAGAATAGCCTAGTTGGTAATGTGTTCAACTGCCAACCGAAAAGTAGCTGGTTCAAATCCCGGTGTGGGTAATGTTGAAAGAGAAAAAAACTAGGTTATGTGGTGGAGGGTGCTAATACACCCTTGTCTGTTGTTTACTTTTAAAATTGACCTGCATTATATTGAGCAGAGGAAGTTCTAAATTGCGTATCCTGTGTCGAGGTAATAGCCGAGTGCATCTGGTGTTCAGTTCACAACCAGAAGGTCAATGGTTCGAATCGCAGAGTGGCTAGTGCCGGAACACCAGGAAGGCAAGATACATTGGTGCCAAACCTGAAATCCACAAACAGTCACATACTAGAAGGATGACACCCCCCCCCACTGAGCGACTTAAGCCTCGCCGTGCCGTAGCACAACTGCGAAGAGCACTCGTACCTTTAACCCTTACCTTGTGCTCGCAAGACGTATTCACCTGGGGAGGGGGCAGGTGAGGCCTTACCTCGTGCTCCTGGTGCTGGGTAAGTATGCCTACCACCTCGATGTTGAGGAGACACTACCATGGTGAAGACATGTGTTTGGTCGCGATTTCTATGTATTGCCCCACGAAGCCAAGTTGTTAACCCTTTACTGCTGAGTGTCGCAAATCCACAGCATATCAAAAAACTTCAAACAAGCAAGTCACGAAAGGCATGCTGCCTTTAATGGCACCTGCGACGTACTCACAGGGAACGTAGCTTTCAGCATAAAAAATTTGCACCGCCTCGTCTAAAGTATTTCATGCTAGAACCAATTGTTTTGAAGCTGACGGCGAAGAGCACGAAGCATGTGCAACAGCTCTGACTTCATTTTTCTCTGCCTGGGTGACGTAAGTTCTAGCCTCAATAATTTTGTTTATTTGGTGTGTACACACCCAAGGGATGGCACATGACATGTTTCGTAGTTCTGAAGTACGTTTTTTTTGTTTCAAGGTCCTCCCTTCTGTGGCATATCGAGATTTTGCAACATACATAAAAGTACAGTAGACTTGCGTTAATTCAAACTCTGATAATTCATACTTTCGGTTAATTCAAACAACATTCGATTTTTTGGTTGGCCCTCTATTTTTTCGATGTATTTAAAAGCCTGTTAGTTCAAGCTTCATCTTTTGGTTAATTCATACTTTTTGCGGTTTCATACCAGGAAACATCTACTGCTTTCCCACTACTATTTAAAAATTTGCATGATTATATATTCCTATTAGTGTAAAAATAAAAAATAGGCTGTCTCAGGCCTTCAAGGAAAAAGCCCTTGCTAGTAAACAAACAATCAGTTTGAAACAAAGCGCACACATGGTAAACCGTGATGTTTCTCAACTGGTGTAGGGCTCGAGCTCTATAGCAAAGAAGCTGTAGGCAATTCTACGATTTCTTAAAAGGCCTGATCAGCAGTAAATGGCCGATAAACTTGTGGATCTTATACCTCTGCTTCATATTGATTGCATGCCGTTAGGGTTCAGGAACCGCTGAAAAGAATTTTCAATTGAGATAAATTCAATGCCTCATCACAATGTGTGGTGTCACCTCACCCACAGTCATATATCTGAGGACTTCTGATAACTTAAACTTCTTGATAATTCAAACAAAATTCAGAGCTCCCTTCGAGCTTGAATTAACCAGTGTCGACTGTATGCATTGAAGTTGCATTTTAGATAATTTAACTGCCAAATCATTTAAAGGTTGCTATTTAAAGCTGGAAAATGAAAATTATTTTCACTTTGTTCAGCAGTTTTATAGTTCAGCCATTAAAGGATTAAGAGACTGATAAGCAATTTTCGTGGTACTTTTTTTTTTTTTGCACAATAGAAACCTTATCAGTCAGTGTCTAATGATGGAATAATAATGTGGCAAGAGCGGAACAATTTTTCGCACATTGGTAAAGTGAAATTTATAATCTAGAAATCACTACTCTTAATGCGACATGACGTTTAGTAAGCGAGAAAATATGCGAAAAGAAAATGTGGGCGGTGACGCCACCTTGAGGTTTCCACACCAAACACCATGACATCAAAAATTTCGAAGGTGTCTGCTGGCTCCCACGCAGTTTCCAATCGACAAAAGTGAAGTACATTGTGATCTGTGGTTGCCATAGACTCAGCAGACGAAGTTTACGAAAAAAAATTGCATCGAGCCAATGCCATGAAAATACCAAAAATACATTTTTAAATTTCGGACGTTGCACGGAGAGATTCTAGCCCATAATTTAAAAACAATACTTCAACCTTGATTTTCTCCCCTAACAATGAACTTATGATAGTGAAACATATGGCGCTAGAGTTCTCGGAATGCAGTTGGTCAATCTAGACAGGTCATTGTTTCCCTTTAGTGTCTCTCTAAATATGTACCATTTCAGAAACATTGTAGCACTTGTTTTGTACCAAGGAAATGCTTATTTTGAACGAAAGCTATGGTTTGATGGTCTACATACTGCTTTCGCAAGTATGACTGCCCGCCTCTCAAGGACTCGTGATGCAAACACTGCCCAACGCTGCCTTTAGCAGGCACTACTCCAGCACCTTCCCGTATGCGACATCGCTCTTTCACCTGAAAACACGTGGATCAGTACTTCCTGCTACGGTTGTTCTTGCACACTCTGCTGGCCACTGCTAATTGCATTGTAATGCAATGTTTTCCCACGGATGGAACGACTAAAATGAGGTGCTTCATACTCGGACAATGCTGTTTACCGTCGGGAAGCTGCGCGCGATCTCAGTATTTGGTGTGGTAGTAGGGCCACCTCGTGCGGGCGTGTGTATTTGTGCTTGCACTGTTCAGTGAGCCTCTATTTATGCCGCTGGCACACCGCGCCACCTGAATGCTACGCAATCGATCCATGCATTTCGTGAAATTTGTGCCAGTGCATTCACTGGTGTGATCCACATTAGACTAATCTTCATACCTGGCGACAGATGGGCCGAGAACACCTGATGAGTGGTGAGTCATTTGGCTTAGAAGTGTAAAACGGTTCAGAACAATATTTAGCCCTTTATATTAGTACAGTCTAACTTCTGAAAACCTTTCTTCATTCACTCAAACCTCGATTTAACGAATCCGAATATAACGAAATATTGGTTATAACAAACTAATTGAAAAATAGTTTCGCAATAGATTTAGTATTAAGAATAAACCTGTATAACAAATTTTCAATTATAACGAACTTATTTTCATCTAAGATGCAAGTTTGTTATAAGGAGGTTTGAGTGTACAGGGACATGCAGCAGCCCGACAAGAGCGAGCCAGTTATTTGAGTAGCGAGTTGCATGACTTGCTTACGTTAGGATTGGCTTTATCCTATGCCCGTAAATAGAAAGAACACAAAAGTAGACTGTTTTGTTGTTGGTCTCACTGGCACAAAAATGCGCCACTTCAAGCATTAGAGTGCCCTGCATGGCACCCAATGGAAAGTCGTTTTTGCAGCTGCTCTTCGTGAAGTGGCGTGCAATGTACGGGCATCGGAAGGCATTACATGAATGCGGCATTTTCAGTAAATTACAGTTGCAGCAAGTTTAGCAAGCCAGCAAACTCTGCGCAGCAGTATGCAGTAGTGAAACTGCATATCAGATGTGGCCTTACGAGCAAAGCGCAGATCAACGATAACAGCTTTGGGACCACCCATGCTGTTCTCCTTGATTAACGCCAAGATTTTTTTATTGAACAGACACATAAAATCATTGTTATGTTACAACTTGTAATGTACAAAGTGATATTTTTGTCATAAGTAGTTTTAGTCCTACAGACTAATTGCATTGGAGACTCGTTGAGCTCATTCTGAAACGTCCCACTTGAAATTGAAAGCTCATTCTGAAAGTTACCTTGAAATTTCTTGGTTATTAGAGCACTGCTGTTGATGTTTTAGGATGTTCTCAACTATTGATCTTTCTTTCTGTAGTAAATTATTTGTCTCAGGTGTCCCTATAAACAATGACAATACGAGCCCGAGTAAAGCCACAAGCCAGACTTTTGTGTGCCCCCTCTTATGCGATTAAGGGAAGCTGCCAGCCCCCCATCTCCTCATGTTCATGCCTACGGCAAGAATGTGAGTTATTAGGAAAATCTGAGCCCTCTCCCTCCACAATGATTCACAAGAAACCTCGAGATTTCCAGCAAAAGGACATGTATTTCGCAACAGTCAGACATAATTGCAATGAAGTGCAATAAATTTCATCATTCTTGTTTAGCGTGTGCTCGTAAAATAAGGCACTCTGACATCCATGAAGGCACTTGTCAACAGCTGGGCCACCGTTCTCACCAATACTAACTGCCCGCAGTCGGCGGCCATTTGCAAATACTATCCACTCTGGTTCACAGACGTTCACAAATGACGGGGATTGGTGCGCCAGGATGGCCGAGTATGAGAGGTCAAGGCACTTGGTTCACGAAACATCACAAATGACCACATATAGGCGATCTTCCCGAGAAGAGGCTGCTTAGAATGGCCAGAATGCACAAGCTGCTCGCAGCTGGCGACCAGTCATGAGGGCGCGTCAAGTTTCAGTTCACAGACGACGCAAACGTCGCTTTGTCCGAAAAGATATCAGTGTGCCAAGAGACGAAGGCACTTAATTTCACCTTTCACCACGCGGCACTCTCTTCTCTGCACAATGGTAAGATGAACAGGTTTCTTCCTCGACTCCACGGCTGCAACCGATCGACGATGTTGACTTTGTCATCTTGCGAGCATCGTTGTTTCTTTCGCCGGAATTACTTTCGGGCGAACACTGCACCGAAAAAAAAATGGAAAGCAAAGTTAAAGAGCCAGTAAACAACTCCAAGGTCCGTAAAGTTGTCATAAAAGGAAGTGTGCACACTTTTGCTTTGTGAACATGCTGCCGCAAGAATTTTGCAGATGCAAGCTCTTTTAAAGAAGTTGCAAGGGTTAGAACATCCGTTTCAGCTGGTTTCAAGTTTTCGCACGGCCTTGCCACTCTTCTCCCTCACAGGAAGGTGCAGGCGTAACCCGCCGTCACGACTGGTTCAGACCAATCGATGAGCTGCGCGCTATGTCGGCGACTTTGCGTCACTGCCCCTGAAAGGAGGATTGGCCAGGCGTAGAAAAGGAGCGCGCGAATCGTTTTTCAAAATGGGGGCTCTGCGCGGCACACAGCGCTCCAATATTCGGAAAACGTGATGGTCGTGGTCTACTCTACGAATCACCAAGCTTCTTTGGGTAAAGTCAGGAGCCACTTGACTGGCTCTTTAAAAGGAAGGCCACTATTAAGATCAACGATTTTTCTCACCATTAATAAATTAGTTTTTCCTAATTTCAAAACTATCAGGCTTGCCGTGAGAACACACTTTGTGAGTAAGATAATTTGCCAAAAGAAAACGCGGGTTGGGATGCCACTTTGAAATTCCCATGACCAGCACCGTGAAATCATACGATTATAATGATACGTATTGGTTCCTTGATTGATTGATTGATATGTGGGGTTTAACGTCCCAAAACTGCCATATGATTATGAGAGATGCCGTAGGGGAGGGTTCCGGATATTTCAACCACCTGGGGTTCTTTAACGTGCACCCAAATCTGAGCACACGGGCCTACAACATTTCCGCCTCCATCGGAAATGCAGCCGCCGCAGCTGGGATTCGAACCCGCGACCTGCGGGTCAGCAGCTGAGTACTTTAGCCACTAGACCACCGCGGCGGGGCTATGTACTGCTTCCTACATTGTTTCTAATCAGTAAAAAATGAAGCACAGTGCCTTTTGAAGGGGTCATAAATCTCACATACTAAGTTTGAAGATCAAAGAAAGCCAAGCTATGCTGAAACTTTGAGATAACGAGCTATTGATTATAACAAAGTAAACAAAGAAATAGTCTCGCAGTGATAGTGTTAGGAATACACCTTTATAGTGAAATTTCGAATATAATGAACTCATCTTTCATGTAATATGCAACTTTGTTATATTGAGTTTCGAGTGTAGTTGATAAGTATTCATTTAAAAGACACGGCGTGCACATGCAGTCGCCAGAAAGCAGGGCAGACATCACAAGAGCCAATTGACTACTAAAAGTGGGCAAGAGCAGAAGAGAAACAAGGCTCAAGAAGGTGATCTGTGCATGCCCAAGCAATAGGCGGGCCTATCAACACAGCACGCGTGGGGGTGTCCGCGTGATAGGTAACTTGTTAAGGCATTTGATTTCCTCTTTGGGTAAGTTAATCATGCATGCGCTACCACTATTATCGATATACCAGGCTTTCATAGGCAGAGAGTACGGGAGGAAGGGGCTGAGGGGCTCCGGCCTTCTCTGGGCTGCTTCATGGGAGGCAGAGCTCTCCCTGATGCTCTTTTGGGATATTTTTGAAGAGCTGGGCTTAGGCTCTCATTCAATGCGAATGGACTGTTGGCCATCCTGTATTGCAGCTCTTTCAGAGGGGAGCATTTACGCCCACTCTTTTTCCTTCCAGGCTTTTGAAATTCGTATGATCAGGCAGTGACAAAAAAAGAGTTCGGCGATTGCCCCCCCCCCGCGGTGGTCTAGTGGCTAAGGTACTCGTCTGCTGACCCGCAGGTCGCGGGTTCATATCCCGGCTGCAGTGGCTGCATTTCCAATGGAGGCGGAAATGTTGTAGGCCCGTGTGCTCAGATTCGGGTGTACGTTAAAGAACCCCAGGTGGTCGAAATTTCCGGAACGCTCCACTACGGTGTCTCTCATATTCATATGGTGGTTTTGGGACGTTAAACCCCACATATCAATCAATCAAGGGAGTTTGGCGCCGGTAGTCGCATTTAGAATGAAGTCAGAGGATGGTGGATATTGCGGTATTTTCATGGCTCTTGTGCAAAACGAGTACAGTATGTACGCGTGCACATCAAGAAAATGTAAGTTTTTTTTTATATAACAGACATTTGTTTATTGTCTTCCTAATACTTTTGATGTGTTTCTCGCTACACACATGCATGCACACAAATGCACGCACACACATATAGCACGTGAATTAAGTTCATGTGCTACGTGAAACCACACAGGCTCATAAAAGGGTGATCCACCCTCGCCGCTATGGCTACAGATGGCGCTGACTGACACTACCATGTTTAAATTCACATATAAACCCAATAAAGTGGCTAGGGGAATGGCCGCCGTGATAGCTCAGTGGTTAGAGCATCGAACGCGTTATTCGAAGGTCGTAGCTTCGATTCCTGCTCACGGCAAGTTATTTTTTCAGCCACTTTTCTTTCTTCTTATTTACATTACATTGATTCTAATAACTTCCCCTATACATTACTTGGCATTATTGTCTGTTAGATCTCATACATATATATATATATATATATATATATATATATATATATATATATATATATATATATATATATATATATATATATATATATATATATATATATATATATATTGACGCGCGTATGTGCCAGTGGTGAGGACAACGAAGGAGCGCGAGTGTCTTTGGCCGAGGGTAAAAGACGAAAAAGTCGTTGCAGTCTGTTTCCTGCGATTGATAAATCGTATTTGTTTGAGGCGCTTTGTGTGCTCGTCAATCTCGCGTCGTCACACTGGTGGAGGCGCTGGGTACGTCTTCATGCTTGGCACCCCTTCACGGACCCGACATTCAAGCCCGGAATCACTACCACCCGTCGACACACCAGTCCACCGTTCCAGCCGCCGTCTGCGAGGCCTAGCTCCCGAGCTCAATCCCTTTCCAGAAACTGCGAGCAATCGCTTGCCTCCTTCAACCACCATGGCCACTGCAGCTACATCGCACATGACACTTCAGAATCCCATGATTCCTGACTGCTTTCATGGTGAGACCTATGAAGATGCACAAGACTGGCTGAACCAGTTCGAACGCTGCGCGAAGTAGAACCAGTGGGCCACCCCAGAAGACAAGCTCGCGAATGTGTACTTCTACCTGAAAGACAACGCCCAGACGTGGTACATTAACAGGGAAAGAAGCATGGCTACGTGGGATGACTTCCGCAACCAGCTGATTGACACCTTCAGTAGCCTTGACAGAAAGGAGAATGCGCAACGTCTCTTGGAAGCTCGAATTCAAAAACCAAACGAGAGCGTCGCTATGTTCGCCGAGGACATGACCCGTCTTTTCGGCAGGGCGGATCCCGAGATGCCGGAAGACAGGAAGCTCCGGTATCTAATGCGAGGCGTGAAGGAGCAACTGTTTGCTGGGCTTGTGAGAAATCCGCCAACAACAGTAGCTGAGTTCACAAAAGAAGCCACAGCTATTGAACGGGCCCTACAGCAACGGTACCGCCAGCAGAACCCGGTCAACGTTCGAGCGAGTAGCCCTGTCACGACTGCGGCGAGCCTCTGCGACAACGACAGGCCTCTGCGGGAAGTCATCCGGGAGATTTCGAGGGAGGAGCTTTGGCAGCTTGGTTTAATTCCAGCAACTGAACCGACGCCGGCATTGTCTTTTGTCGCTGATGTTGTCCGGGATGAGGTCCGCCATGCTCTCTCTTCATCTGGCTATAATGGTGTGCGACGACATTTTACTTATGCTGATGCAGTCCGACGCCCCGTCATCGCTCCTTCAGCACAGCAGACCCCAATGACTGGACCACCACCAACCCTGCAAACACAGCCACTGTCAGCACCGACCACTTTCGCAACCTCACCGATTCCTCCGACAAGACGAGTGCCGTATAACCAACATGCCCCACAACGTCGCCCCACAACGTGGCCCAATAGTGAGTCTCCACTTACCTACCAGCGTCGGAAAACCGATTTGTGGCGTACCGCTGACCGTCGACTGGTATGCTTTCATTGTGGCGAAGCTGGGCACGTCTACAGAGTTTGCCGTTATCGCGACGCTCAGTAGTCGAGATTTCCTCGCTGCCCTGATTACGTTGCGTACGACGATCAACGCATGTACAACTACGCCCATGTGAACACACAGCCGCAGAATCCAGTAATGCCCAGATCACGTTCTCCATCTCCTGCGCGGCCCAGTTCACCTAATCGTCGCAGTTTTGCCGACGTCACCAGGGGCAGGTCCCCTAGCCCGCAACGAGGAAACTAGACGCAGCGACCTCGGGGGGTGGGGTTGCCAATATTCGAAATTCCGAACAGCCCCCATTGCAGACAAGTGACAGCTCGAAGCCATCGATACCGAAGAAGACGACAGCAACGACTGATTCGACGAATGAGACAACTGCCGACGTAACCGACGTTATCAGCGCTGACCTCGTCGTTCACATTGACGGCCACCAAGTGACGGCACTTGTGGACACTGGCTCCCACTTTTCTATAATAAGCCTACAGCTAGCCGAAAGACTCAGGAAGGTGAAAATGCCATAGCAGGGACCCAATATAAGAACTGCAGGAGGTCAGTTGATGACACCGGTTGGAAAGTGCACGGCCCGACTCTTCATTGCTGGTTCCACCTTTGTCGCCACCCTCGTCATTCTCCACGAGTGCTGTAAACAGCTCATATTGGGAATGGATTTCTTGCGCGAATACGGGGCTGTGATTGACATCCGTGACAGAAGCGTAACGTTCACTGTAAGCTTGGAGACTGCTACAGATGAGGAACACCAGCCACCTCACTTCCGTATTGCCGATGACGACGTCATACTGCCGCCACGAAGTTGTTCTCTCGTATCCGTGCACTGTGACAAATTACGAAATGGTACTGGCGTCGCTGAACACATCAAGGAGCTCGCATTCACTAGCGGCATTTCTTTTGCCAAGGCTGTCATCACTGTTATTGACGGATGCGCTGAACTGCTATTGACAAA